CTCTGTATATTACTTCCATATAATATCTTAAGATTATTCTTTTGAAAGTTATTTTCAGTTTTACGGTTTAATATTTTATTTACTTTTACTTGTTACCTTTTACAATACATTTTCAGATACTGTTTTACTATTAAAAAGTAAATATAAATTTACATAAATGAAATAATATAATGAAATTATAAGTCTCATTTCTCTCTCTCTCTCTATGATATATTTTATATTTTATTTAGGATCTCATAACAGATATAAAATAGTTATTAATTTAACATTTATATTTCTTACAGAGATCATTTTAAAATGTGGTTAGAAGAAGCTTATTTTCCAAACATTGGTTCTAATAGCGTTCTTGTTATCGATTCATGGATTGGACATTGTCTCATTATTATTTCAGATTTAACACCTGTAGGAAATCATATTACTACTATGATTATACCGAAAGGCACTACAGGGAAAATACAACCATTAGATGTTTACGGATTTAGAATTTGAAAAAATTTTGCTAAAAGATTTTCAGATATTATTTTATTATTGTGAAAGGCACTACAGGGAAAATACAACCATTAGATGTTTACGGATTTAGAATTTGAAAAAATTTTACTAAAAGATTTTCAGATATTATTTTATTATTAGAAAGTAATACAAATTTACATGAACGAAATAATATAATAAAATTACAATCTCTGATACGTAATCAATTGTCATCCCCGCAATATCACAACATTATTTAAATATCCATGGTTTAAAAGTGGTTATACAAATAAAAGACCAGAAGAATTTGAAAATCCAATAGAATTTAGTTTTGACAAAACTTCAATAACATGTGATATCGAAGGTTGCAGTAATATAGCTGTAGTAAAATGTTTATGGTGTAAGAAGTCATTATATTTAAAACATTTTTTCATCGAGTATCATTATTATGATGAGTATGAGTAAACGATACAAAATAAAAATTTATTTTGTATAAACATTTAGAAATTATTTCTTTATTAAGTACGTTTAGAAATTATTACGTAAACGACAAGTAAATAAGATATTAAAGCGTAAAACTGGAAATAACTTTAAGAGAATAATCTTAAGATATTATAAGGAAGTAATCAGAGTTGGCAAAAGTCCACATTTTTTGGATAAAATCCATGCCAGTGTAAAAACCGGTATTTTCCGGAAAAAACCGGCAAAAACCTGGTCTTTTCTATTAAAAATAATCAAATAAATAGATTTGATTATTTTGAGTAAAAATACATTAAGAGGAAGACATAAGGGCCCTGTATGGGCTTGCTTTGAATCTTGTAGTTGGCAACATTATTAAGCAGAAATGTATTGCTTGTGGAACATTAGTTAGCGGAAAAGCTCCACGACTGAAACAACATCTTCAAAAGTGTAATAAGTTTGAAAAGAACGATGATGATAATTCAAGTAAAAGTGAATCAG